TTAAAGTTTTCTAATGATTTTAAAAAAATTTTATAACAAAGTCACTAAAACAAAACTCAAAGAATATTTTTTACTTAAAAAAGATATAGCTAAAATCAATATTTAAAATTTTATTAAAAATTTTAAAATACGCAGGCAAATTTGCCTATGTTACAATCTAAGGGATAGCCTAACTAGAAAGCTATCTATTTAAACTCTCTGGCTTTAACTGATATTACATGTTTCCTCCTAATATACTTTTTCACAAGGTAATTTACCGTTAAAGACCCTAAGACTTTAGCCACCAACCTAATTTGGGGCATTTATCCTTGTGGTAAACCTAACAGAGTGGTGCATGTCCCACACATATGCTTACCTGCATGTTTAGTAACTTCTTCCTAACTAGTACCTGTTGTACTGCCACCACCAGGTTCGTATTTCAAGCCAACTTTTGGAATGCTGCCGTAACCCAATTCGTATCTCAAGCACAACCTTCCTAATTAGTCATCAATTATGTACTTCTGCCCTTGTAAGGTTCACAACAACCCCAGTACCTACATTCTAGCCATCTTTTTATCCGAATTCTTTATTGGTCTCTTTCTTACTTTCAGCTAGCAACCTAAAAGGATTGGTCTGCCCAGGCTTTAGGTGTCTGAAGGACACCTCTCTTCTTGGTCTATACTTTTGGAGTTTATAACTTTTTTCTCTGGTGTATCTAAACTGGCGGTTCGGCTATTGTGTCCCCCACTAAAGGACCTGATCACTCGGTTTTTCAATCTTAGGCCCCAGTTCAAATTTAGCCTTTTTGTAGTACCGTCAAAGATCACTGCTACATTCTATTCGGGACTTCCCAAATGGGCTTCAATCCCCAGTCCTGTGACCTGTGCCTAGCACAGCCCACAGATTATAGCCACCCGGAATCGCTTCACTGGTGCCCCAAACACTCAAGTCACTAGGTCATCTATAGGCCAACCTTAAATAGAGATCATCGTCTGACATAAATCGTTTTTGTTATTTTCAAAAGCATCTTCTCTAGGATTCGAACCTTAGAACTTATGCCATTACTATTTGGAGAGGGTGATAACTAGACCACTTCACTAAGGCGCTACACCTCTCAAAAAACAGTTTTTATAAATAATACTAATCAAAAACTTATTAGACTTAATCTCACAAAAAAATCATAGAATTTTTATTTAATAGACTATTTATTAGTATTCCACAAATAGATTTGAGATTCGGATTTGATCTGTAAATCTATAATTCATCAAACCCTGCAAATTTAAACTGGATCTGTTATTACTGTACTATGAAATCTATTAATATAAAAACTTTACTCAAAGCTTAATCTAATAAATTTATTGGGCTTTTGAGCTTTATTAAACAAAAACAATTTTTTTTCTTAAAAATTATAAGAACATATACAATATTATTATTGCTGTATATTGTATTTCTTTTTTATTTTTTATATTCAATTAGTAGAACACTACCACTACTACAATGAACTTAATTATAAATCAATTTTCAATTTTCATTTTTTTGTTTTTCTCTGTTTATTTTCTTTATTTTTGTCTGAACTTATTACTGTAGTACTTAATACCATTAAACAGAGCCTGTGTAAAATTCTTGTAGCATTTTGTAATAATATAAGATTTATTAAAAGAATATTCTAAATTTTATAAAATATTAAATTTTTAAATTTTAATAAGCTACATATAATGACTAAAGTTTTAATACAAACCCTAAATGTAAGTAACAATTTAACTAGATCAACAATTTTTTGTTCATTACATAGCACCAAAGGAATTTCTGCTCTCTATATATGAAAATATCTGTTTAATTCATTTGAATCGCAAACAAGAACGTTTAAACATATTTTCATTTCTAAAATTAAAGAATTCATTTAGCATTATTTAGAAACCAAAGAAATTGTACTAATATTACTGAAAAATTAAAAAGTAATAGTATATATAAGTATTATAGAAAACTAAAAAATTATAAATTTATAACCTACTACATACTTGTATGCCTGTGATTCTGAATTGGTTGGTTTGAGGTTTATATATTTTCTATGCCCAAGACATGCTATCATTTAGCTTCCTTCAAAGTTTTACAAAATCTTTAGTTTCTTTCACTAGAGTATATTGAATTTTTAAATACTCTATATAACAAACTTTGAATATTTAATTATTAAAGAATATTTTGATTATAGTGTCTGGTTTTTTTCTGATTTTGATATCATCAAATTTGTTAGATTGTTTAACTTTTCTTTCCTAGCTTGCAATGCTTTGCATTTTAGCACTACAAAAAAAAGTTGTAGTTAATAAATAAGTGCTACCAAGAGAAACCCTGCTATCAGGCTTTTAGTTAAAGCAGTATTATTTATTATTTGATTTTTTTTATTAGAGACTTACTCTCTTCTCTTAGTTTTTAATATATAAATTATCAAGTCTTATATATAAAATTCCAATTTTTTTGACCCCCTAAAAAATTACCTAATAATTATTAGCTCCCTTATACAGTGAAATCTCTATAAAATATACACCCTTTCTAAATACATATAAAATATAATTAAAAGCCTAATGACAGATTTTCCCTCTCTAACAAATAAGATTTATTAATTGTAATATATACAGTGAAATATATATTATAATTGAGTCTGCTTAAAGAAGCTCTAAAAAGTAATACAATCAAATTAGTAGAGTATGTTCTCTTATTTAAATTTTTTAAAACTTTTTGTTTGAAAATGTCAGATTAATCCAAGCTTCATCACTAAAAATTAATAAACCTAATTTATTAAACACTAATTAGAAAATCAATCATAGCCAATTTATTAAATGATTAAAATTTATTAGGAATAATAAAATATATCATATACAGAACCAATAATATGTTTTCAACTACTAATTTATTGTTATTAATATCTTCTTTTCAATTTGCATTGTGGACTAGGTTTTGATTTAAATATTTTATTTTCTAATGATTTTTAAATTCTTGGAGAAATTTAATATATTTAAAAATAACTTGTGATGGTAATTGTAAGAGTTGCATAAGTTTAAAAGGTTTAAAAAACTGTATGTTAACCAATCTCATTAGAGATGTTACTATAAATGAATGATTGTTAAGGATATGACTTGCTAGTGAATTCATCCAGATTAAATTCTTGAAATTTATAGTAATTAATTTTTCATATAGAGAATCACATAATTATCTAAAATTGGAAACTTATAAATATATAGTATTAGAACAATATTAATTAAAATATTTTAAATTATAGCTATTTGCTATATTTACAGCAAGTTTTTTTTTAAAGATTGAAAAGTTTAATTCTATCATTTTAGAACTATGGCTATGTTTAAGTATTGACTTCTATATAATATATATATTATACATTTTAATAAAAATCTTATTAGTTTAATACAAAATATATATATAATATATATATTATAAACTTTGATATATCACACCACTAGTATTTAATACTATATTTTAATCTAGCCAATCAAATCGTCATTCATTGTAAACAGAAAAATAAACAAAAAAAAGATTACCTGTTGTTGAACACCAGTAATAAAAATAAAGCAAAAATTTTTATTGTCTATATTAAATTAGCCAATAAAAAGCAAGAAAATTTTAAAATATTCTAGAACAAATTTTAATTCATATCTCAAAAGTTCTCTTATGAAAGAAACCACCTTTTTATTCTAAGATTACTTCTTGTGAAATTTCGCATATGTACTATATGTACTATATCATATAAATAGCATATTACTAAGAGTAGTGTCACGGCTGTATATGACCACTATAGATAAAGCCTCAAAATCGCCATAATTATTGTTCTTTTCTTAGTACACCGTTTAAGAATCTTGTGAGAAAATATGTATTGTTGGTCGTCCTGGTTAACTACAAGTTTATATTGTTATCTAGGTCCTTATATGCCCCACCACGCATATGAATTGTAACTATCTATAACTTAATATTATAAGTCTGTTACGTCCTTTTATCAGCAAAAGGATTCCTTATATATTAAAATTCGACTCTAGACTAATTATATCATAATCAATCATATGATCATTAGCAAAAAAAAATATACATAAAACTCTGTGAGTTTTTACATGAGCATAAATTTACGAAAAACTTACGATTAGTTCAGAGTATTATGTAGGGGTAATAATTACGAAAGTTTATGCTATAGAATTTCGGAGTATTATGTAGGAGTAATAATTATGAACATTTACGGCTTAGTAAATTTAAATATAGCAAAATGCAAATAGTCGAAAACTAGCGAATACATGCATAAAATTATGAATATTTACGAACAACAAAAATCAAAA